TTTCCTCCTCCTCCTCTTCTTTCCTTCCTTCTCTTTTCGCTCTTCCTTATCTTCGCCCTTTACGAGCCAGACCAGAAAACACCTCTAGACCCTCGCAATGGGAAAATATGCAGTTGACAAAGTTTGCAACAAAATTGCGATCTCTCTTGATCGATCCACATGCATTCTTTTGTGCATTTTGCCGATTCCTGATTGTCTAGTATCGCGAAGTTCCTACATTCGCAACGCATGAGACCGCCTTATGCTCAGTTATTTTGGATGAAGCACGGTTTTACGGTTAGCTGACTTTGCCATTTTATGAGTTCATACTTTGCAGCAACTTCCTGGTGTTGTTCCATGGTTATGCGCGAAGGTTTTGGCAGCTAAGTCCAGATCATCGTGGAACTCCTGAGAAGGTATGAACTTAATATTCTAGTTAAAACTGTGGATGAACGTGGAGCCGGCAAGTAGAGTCCCAGGTGTGCAATAAAGTGATGTAGTAAATTATGTGAGGGTTGGGAAAATTTTTGTCGACATAAGACTGTAATCCTGATCTCCTTAGATCGAGTGCACAACAAGGGTTTTATCGGAGTAGGAACGCCTTCCTTCTGAAGCACCGATTGTCCGTTTTGAATCTTAGCATTGGCGCTTCATAATGCCAAAGTTTTGTTCCAAACCTTCTCGACATTTTGAACTCTGGAAACTGGCAAATAATTTGGAGTAGTCCGGCGACAAGGGAGGGAGGGGGGGGGGGATTTTGCTTCTTTGCTGCTTTTCATCGACATGTTGAGCCATCTAGAGAGCTGTTTCGGTTTTACCATGGTGGCTTGACGAGCTTGCTCCAGCTTCACAAGAGTTCACAGGTTTCACCAGAGTGAGGCTTGTAAAGCCGGAACTGATGAAGCAACGAATGTGCAAAAAGTCCCGTCGCTGAGCTGCGCCAAGAACTTGAACTCCGTTTTCGAAAACTTTTTACTTACTTTTTTCAGCCTGGCCGTACCGTCACTCTGGTACCCGATGAGAAAGTTGGTTTTTCCATCTTTTATACACATTATTTTCGAAGAGTAGTTGAATGTATGCAATTGAATAGTGTTATTTTCAAGTCTGTCTGCTGGGGAATAGCTTTCGAAGTTGCCGAAGAGGATGTGGCCTCAACTCGGAAGTATCTGGATTTTCGAGAGAAAGCTGGATATTCGGTCGGTTGTGTTTTGGTTTTCTTTCGTTGTTGTGGAACTCAGGTACAGGCGTGATGTGTGAGGTGGTGACTTCCCTTCCCGCCTCCCCTCGGAGAGAGGATGTCGCTGCGACCCCCACATCCTGAATGCAGGGTCTCGGTACGACCCCCCACCCCCACCCCCCCCTTCCCCAACACCTACCTACGAATCCCATTTACCCTGTTTTTTACCCTAGGCTTTTCTATCGAGCGGAAGGAAGGGGGTATATAGCCAGTGTGAAACGGTAGAAGTTCTCCAACTTCCTGCCACTTTTTCCAAATCTCCCGAAAATTTTCCTACTTTTTCCCTAAAAATTTTCCTGACTAGCCCGGGGGGGGGAGTATAAATGCACTTGAAACAGGGGAAATCACGCATAAGTCAACATCCGGATAACCAACGCGGCAAATTTCTCTCAACCGCAGCATACGAACGCCCCCGCCTCACCAGCCGACCAATATAACCACCCTCCTCAGACAACAAGTACGACCCCCGCCCCCCCGCCCTTCAGTCACGCTCGATGCGTTTCAACCCAACGGTGCTTTTCGTTTGGGAACTCTTGCTCTCACTTTATAAAGCCATATGCTTCACTGCAAGTTGTTTTAAATGAGGCATAATTTTAGCTGGTGACTGTTATGTTCAAACCAGATGATGCCTCCATAGAACCCTTTGCGGTGGAGGTGAGAGCTCTTTTTATTTACTGACTAATAATTTTGAGGTGTTTAAACGATTTGTTACTTTCATAAGAGTTAAGTTTAAAACACGTTTTTGTTAACGGAAACGAACGTCGACAGCCATAAAATACTGACGCTGTGTTCATACTTTTCGTTCGTACGTCGGCGTTTTGAGCGTTTCGGGCAAAATGTAAAGCATATGTGTAAGTCTAAGGTTTTGAAATGAGCGCCAGCATCCTTAGCATTTGGAGCGTTACAAGATCACTCCGAGCGCACGACCAAGTTGCTGAAGTGGGCGGAGCCACCAAATAGCTCGAGCGAGCATAGGAATCGCGAATAAATATGAACTTTTGTCCGGAGAGTCTTTAAATACTTGTATTTCTATGAGTTTCTTCCACAGTGACGCTGCAAGTCTTACGTCTTCGATGACAAATATTTTCTGGATCTTGAACACTTAGAATTTTATTTAAGGCTTATATGTCGTATGGAGACAAGGTGCACCATGCAGGACCAAGCGAACTTGAAGACATTTGTCAGACCGTACGGATTTGCTAATCATTCAAGCATAATTTCGCTATTTACTTTCATATCCCAGTTTATAATTTATTTCTTCACGTTCTCTTCAGATAGTTCAATGTGATGGGCCATCAGGATCGAACGTAGAATACGCCCTGTTGCTAGCTACTACTTTGCATAAACAGGTAATCAATCAGCCTGTTTCTACCTAGGCTGTGATATTTTATCGCGGAATACAATTTGAATAAGAAGTAAATGTTCGAATTACGTTCCACAACTCGTCTTCTCTGGGGTCTTTTTTTAAGAAGTTTTCGTGTAAATGAATGGGTATTCTCGATTGTTATTTTACCTTTTTTTGTTCAATATCTCCAAAGAGTTACTCTTGGAGATCCGTGGGTGGGCCTGCTAAGACGCTCTCATTTATTAGTCATTACTCTCAGTCCGATGTTTACGAAAGGAGAACATAAAACATGAAAGTTCAATGTTGAGACCGAAAAGAGCCTTGTGATGAAAGTTTTCTTTACAGAAAACAATCTAATTCATATCATAGGCTCCTCACTGTCCTGATGAACATGTGTTTTCCGTTGAACGCCGTGTTTTGGAATTGTGCCAAAGAAATGGAGCACGCAAGGATATTTTGAAGAAGTTGGGTTACTGTAACTCAGGTTGGTATTTGAGCCACTTCTTTGAAGAGGAACTGTACACTCACCTCCCAGACGGTGTGCGAGGTGAATGGGTTTGCAGCTGCAGCGTCGTACCGCTCTCTCCGTTGAAAAGTGCTTGTAAAGGGAGCTGTAGAGTAAGAGTACTCAATTGCCCAGCGTCGATACCAAATCGAGAGCGAAACGCGCCCTCAACCGAAGCGAACAACCGGAAGAAGAAAGAACGCAGACAAAAGCGCGTTTGGCTATGCTTACGCATGTGGCCGTCGGGCAGCGAGGGCAGAGTGTGGAGACGGCATCCGAGTAGCACTACCCTCCAGCCCTACCACTGCTTCTCGAGCGCTTTTGGGGGAAGAAAATAGGACGCCAGTGCAACTGTGGACCCATTTACCTCACAGATGACAAGAACCACTATCCTCGGAGGTGAGGGTACAGTTTGTGTACACAACAGTTTTCAAATTGTCAAGGGTTATCTCCCAGTGCTGAAACGCTTTCAGACCATCAGCAGAGGCTCATCTTCACATTTTTTTTTGTCCTGAGGTCGGTAGCATGCTTGAAAATCGGCAAATTTTGAAATCGAAAACTGGTTTCGATTAAGATTTCTTGCCAGAAACTGTAGAAGTGCACTAGATAACTGCATATGAAATACCGCTTTGAATATCCAGGAATTATCTTTCTACCTTGAAGAATCCAGGTCCCTCTTTGATGAAATATTGCAATGCAACAAGCTTTTTTGACCAATATCTTTGCTTGCTTGTTGGGAAGCAGAAACCAATTTGAGTTTCCATTCATGCGGTATTTGCCAACATTAGACAGGGCCCATTGCGCGCCAAAGGGGACGTCCATCTGGTAAGAGCACAGTGTACGTATTACTTGATATTTAGGCGTCGTCAGTCGTATGGGGTTTTCACAGCCAGTTACCGTGTGCCGCTTTTATCACATGGAATGATGCTAAGGAGCTTGTGACGTAAAATGACCTTTATCCGCAGAAGTCCCCCACGATTAGCTTCGATATGACAAGACATTGTCAAACTATTGAAGTGACTCAATAAGTAAGAGTAAGGAGCTGGTACAGAGCGGAGCGTGGGCGTCGCAAGCAGGCCAACAATTCACTGAATCTGCCACTACCTCCTCTTATTATGAGCGGGAAGTATATGCGGTGGCCGGATTGAAAATTTGTATGACTTGCGGCTTTATTTTCGGGGGAAGAGTTCTTTGCAATTACAGCTGTAGACTTCCTCGCTCGGATAATGGGCGTTTCCGGGAGACAGGTTTAGTTTCGCATATCGGCCGCAAGTAGCTTCTAGTGCACACACCGGTACCCATTTGATCAGGGAACTAGTACGTCCTTTGGGCATAGTAGTCCCACCTGCAAGCGTGGAAGGTGCAGTACCTTCGCAGTTCAAAAATAAGTGAGGAAAGCGCGATTCGCTCGCGAAAAGCCAGCTGCTCCCCTCATTAGTCATGGCAATGCCCAACTTTCGTTTCTAACTTTTAATTGATGAGGCGATTGTTACCCTACTAGCTCACTCCATTTCGAATGAATGAGAGTGGGGAGAAAGGAGAAGAGTTGAGGGCTTAGCCAGCAAGTGGAACCGTCCGACCACGCCCCTTTCATGCGCCTTATGCGTTTTTTCTCATCGCAGTTCAGCATCGGAGTTCTGTATGGGGCATTTCAGGAGGGTTTTTGCGCTTTTTTCTTTACTGCGTTTTTTTACCTTCTTGTCGTTACTTTGAGCAGCATAAATCACCATTTTTGAACGTGGAGCATGCCTCCAATTTTAAAAGTTGAGGCTCTCAGGAAGCAGCTAACAACAACTGTATAGAACTGGTGGTGTGATCGGTCCTATTTCTGTTTATCTTACGATTTTCGATCTCAAATAGATTTGAATGTTTAGTCTTCTAACGTTTTATCAGGTGCTGAACAAGGAAGATGACGTCAATCCAGCGGCCAAGCAGCTTTATTACTTCCGGACCACCTTGTGATTGAGTCCTCGAGGAGGCGGTGCTGTGTCGCCGACTGCATGAGTCACTTCAGCGCCCTCTGCGCTATCTCTCTCGGCTGTTCTCCCCGTCCTTGTGATCGATTGACATTATTTATTGTTTTCAGACCCCTCTAATTTTTCACGCACTGGCTTCATGGTCAAATGTTCGTTTATTGATTTTTTTATGCGCAAAAATCTATTATATGAGTTAGGTTAGTGAAGCATATGTTGATCATTTTCCAATTTTTGAATTATTTCCTGTTGTTTATTTTCTTCTTTTTTCGTATAGATCCTTACTTCCAATAGATCACCAGAATAGTGACTTATCTAACATTTAAGGACTGCCAAAGATGGCTCAAAGCCGTAATATTTGGGTTGGTTTCACTTTTACTTTTCTAAAGTAGTTTGGTGATGTTATGACCATTTTGTGATGTTGTTTTCCTTTAAAAATCTACTAATTTTGACAAAGTTACCGCTCATCATCAAGTAACTCATCGAAGATCGATTGTGAACAGCTGTTTGATTTTTATTGCTTGAAGACACGTGATGTCCAGACACAACAGATTGTCAGAATGTGTTCTCAGGGTTTCTTGTTTGTGATGGTTTGCTTAGCATTTTTCTCATTTTTGGTGCAGTTCGGCGACGGGGGACATTTGCACTTTCGCTGCTTCACAAGTTCCGCTTCCCAAGTCTGACTCTAGTGAAACCTGTGCACTTTTGTGATGAACTCTTGTGAAGCTGGAGCAATTGAACCACAATAGTAAATGGTACAGTCCGTATCCCGAAAGTAAAGTGGGCGTGACTGCGTACTCTCATTGAACGTGGCGACAGCCACGGTCTTCGTGGAATATTGCCGCTTGGGAGGGAGTGCCGTAATCGTTTTTTGAAAGGCTTACAGTGCAGGCCGGCAATTGTCTCAGGTTGAAGTATTTCATAAGTAACGTTTACTATGGCACTTTTGAACCGAGCCACGCCCTCTCAATCTTCGGGATATGGGTGTATTTTGTTAGGTATTTCTTTACTTTACCAAAGTTGACATGTACTCCTTACGAGGACGAAGTAGCAAAAGCGCAAAATGCTCCCTCCCCCCCTCGTACCCCAAGCAAACAGCGCCGGCTTTTTTTACTTACTATAAAATTTATTTGTGTGGATTTTTCATGTCTTTTTACATACAGACTCTTTCGATAAATATCTGAATCTAGCGTGTTTTTGTACGTTCATCACAACTCTGTTCTTTCTGGGCTAGTATTTTCTACAAAGACGATCAGTCGTTTCAGCCGGTGAATTCGCCTTTCGCCTCGCCTCAGATGAGTCGGCAAGCACAGCTGAATCGCTCTGTTTTGTTTGCTTTTCTTTTTCTTCCGTTGGCAATCACCTGCCTTTCCTCCCTGAACTGTGCATCTTTCAACAGTTCCTTTACGATTTGACGCACTCTTCGGTCCTGCTCTTTCATTAGTTTCTTTAATGCGATAGAAAAAAAGGGACATTTGACAGAAGCGCATGAAGAGCGAAATCACGTGATATGCAAGTGTCAGCTGATTGGTGTCGTTTTCTTTCCTCCTTGTTCCGTCTTATGGTTTCTGCCTGTCATTTTGTAATTTTACAGTTGAACTTAGTGATTCGTCTTTTTAGATCATTTCTTTTCTCCAACATGAGTAGTGAATCAAAAGAAACGTCTCATGCCAATGAAAATGTCCATCTTCTATGTAGGAGTCAAGCAGAGGTGAGCGATGCTGATAAGTTTCTTATTAAGGGGTGATGTTGAACACACTTTGAAGGGAGAAGCTTTCGTCGTTTATCATTTCTTTGGGTTACGCCATGCTCCACACTTCCAGTGGGTCCATTCAATGACTTGCAAGTGGGAGGGGGACCGGTATACAAGTCAGTGTTTTATCCTTCCAATTAAGCCCGAGGCCTCGTACTTTCCGGAATTTTTCGGACGAAGAGTAGAATCGGAGAGTAGGGGGTATGCTATCGAACATCAGAATCTTATCAAATGTTAGTCACTTTTCTTTGTTCCTGACCATATGTTGAAGTGACTAGTAGGGTTCCAATTATTTATTATCTTTATTTCGAAGATAACATTTCAAGTTGCTCACCAAAGAGCCTTCGCTTCCCTGTTGCCGGCTCTATGCTTGTTATCTGATCTGAGCTTTGATCCCTAGACCGAGCGCGAGTTAACCATCGTCACGTGCACCGGTACCAAACTATATTCGATAGGCACCTTTTTTGTTGCTTCTCACGTGGTGTGCTCGCGGTAGTTCACCCAGAGGTTCTTTTTATATGACCGTTACATTGACCTCACCCTGCCTTGAGTGAAGGCCGAGTGTTTGATTCAGTTCCCATCTTGTTTTCTCCCTTGTCAACTTCCTTCTTCAAATTCGATGTGGTCGATTTACACCGTTAGAATTTAATGGGGCGTGCTTTGATTACCAAAACGCACAGTTTTTCTTGGCAGAAAACGAGGGCTGCAGTTGCCGACGAGAGGGATTTTGCATTTTTTCGTTTCCCTTCTTACGTTTCGTAGACATCAGGACCTGCGTAATCTGTGTAATGTGAAACCCCGAAGTGATGATACCAGTCAAAGATTGTAGAGACTTCCTTGTGAAGAGTATCTGTTAACTTGTGAAGCAATGAAATACCATACAAATACCATTACCATTGTGGCTAAGCGAGCTTGCTCCAGCTTAACAGGCACTCACAGGTTACACCCAACCCACCCACACCCCGCCCCCCCCCTCCTTCGCCGAACTGCGGCAAAACCATTTTAGTTCCCGAATTCCTCAAAATAGATGTTTTCCTTTGGACTGTTGTCAGGCCTGCTATTACCTTTACTTCAATAACGTAAGTTTTCGCACAAATATGTTTACTGGATTCACTTAGCAGGGCACACCATAAGATGTGGCTTATTCCTTGAACTCAAGCTTTTCTAGACATAACGGTTCTGATGTTTTATCCCCAAGGGTCTGTGTAATAACAGGGTCGTATTTCTATTGTGTTCCTATGGATGTCCTTGTCGTGGTGCGTCTCAAAAAATCTGCTATTGTTACTGAGAGATTGTTATTTCAGATACCTCAAGAGGCAATGGAAACCGAGCCAGGGTCGGAGCCAGTCCTCATTAAAAGACCGGTTTCTATTGGAGGCGGTGAGCAGCACTCGTGATTTTTCTTTGTTGTTACAACCTAAATTTAGTGAGTCAACAACCCTAGACAGTTGTTATTTTAATACAAGAGGGGTCGAAGGAGTGACAATAATGCGTCATAGGACTCACCCCCGGCAGCAGACAAACACCACCCTCTCTTCTATTTACCTTCCGTTACTGTTAGAGAATTCTTTCACCTGTGCCTTCCTCTCCAATATCATAATAACACTTTTCCTTTAAGCTGCAGTCGTTGTCGAAGGATCAGGGACCACCATGGATGTACCCCCCGTGAGGAAGAAGCTCAGTGAAAGTCGTCAAGTGAAGTTGCCGACAATATCGGTGGCAGAGGTAGGCAGTTTCTATGGTCATTTTTTTCTAAATTCTGGTTCCAACTTGTTCTAAGATGGTGTTAGTCTTATCTGTTATGTTCAGAGACCTGCCGTCTCATTTGCGGATCCGTTAAGTGGTACTGTCAAAAAGACGCCTCCTCTCTCGATCTCTCCCATTGGATACACTTTACAGTTCGTTTTTTAATGCAACTATGTTAAATTTTCGGTTTTCAATATTACCTGTTGTTTTAGTCACATCCCCCAATCAGCTGATTATCGCAAAAAGAAAAATGACGTGGTATCTATGCGGGTTTACGTATCCCAGTTCGTCCGTATGGATACGCCTGAACGCGATGACAGTGACTGTAAGTTTTCCTCGACCATTGCTCTGCCAACCGATCGACTCTTTCGTTTGTCGTTGTGCGTTCGCGACGATCGAAAAAAAACCGGTTTCCAGATGCCGGCATTCAATTCAACATACCGGGTGGACGAAACGCAACTGCTGAATATATCGTGGAATTAATGGGAGCTGAATATGGCATTGACAGAGCAATTGCCAAAGAGGCGTTTTCACTTTGGATGATTTCAGGACTTCTAGGTTTGTATGGCTTTTTATGAGGCTTCGGGGACGTACTCCTTCTGCTGTACGGGGTTGATCCCGTAATTTCTCCCACAGTATTCCCAAGATTATAAAGAGTTGGTCCCAGTGTAATGGGAGCTATGCTTTTACAACACACTTATGTGCAGCTGCAGCGCTGCTGTTCTGCTGTTTTTGCAGATGAGCAGAGCCTGTTTCTTTTTTAGAAGTACAACTGAAACCCCATCACAAGCCCTATGAAATGCGACGTGGTTGGGCTGAGGTGTTGTCGAAGTTCGCCACATCAGAACCAGAGAGTAGGAAGAGAGAAGATGAACCGGTGCTCTACTTTAGAAGAAATGTCCAGTTATCTGAAACAAGGGAACAACAAGTAGGTGTCCACTCATATTTGATTTTACCTCTTTAATTTGGCTCTTTTAGATCATGACGTTTTGTTCACGTGCATTAGAAATGTTGCTAACGGATGCTCGATCATCCTTGTTCCTTGATCGGTGTCCAATGCCACCAGAAAGAGCTGCTGAACTTGCTGGACTTGGATTCGCAATGGAGGACGGCGCTTACGAGCAGAAAACTCACAATGTTGACTGGTTAAGGAATACACATTAGATGATCAACTGCCTGCTCGAATGGCCGACGCGATTCGTGGTCCAGTGCTGCTCGGAAAGGCCCTCAGCGGTTTCAAGTTAGTTTTACAATAAGTTTTACCAGGATGCTTTGTCACATAAGGAGCCCTGTCCTCAAATCAACAGCGTACAGCATGCAGAGCAAGTCCTGCAGTTGGGAAGTATTAGAAATATGAGGATCCCCCTTTCCCATCCTTTCTCTCTACCAACTACCAAAACTTCCCCAACTATCTATCAGTTTTCCGTTTTTTT